AATTGTGTGAACCAGGGGGTGTTCCTTTACAACAAACTAAATATGGCTTGCCCACGAAATTTAATAACTTTAATCGTATTTTGAGTCAATGTATGGAAAATTTGTTCTATTTTTAATTACTGTACAAAATTTCAGACAATTTGCTTTAGTTTAATCCCTTTAAATACCAGCATGAGCTCCACCTTTTAATTTACTATATGAGTAAATTCTTAAACACGTCCGAATTTATCATTATGATAAATTCGCGGCAAATTTTGAATTTATCATAATAATAAATTCGCGGCACCTAACACTAACCCTAACCCCAACCCCAACCCTAACCCCTAACCACTAACCACTAACCCTCATTTTTTTAACTTTTTTAAAAATCTAACTTTTTAAACTTTTCTTGCTTTTCAAAACTCTTTTAAAACTTTTTAAAACTTTTTTAAAAACTATTTTTTAAAAAAAAAACATGAATAACTCCCCACCTCTGCGCGACCAACCACCCTTTTATTGCCATTACATTTATAACAAGAAACCTTGTGCAATGATTGTGGTTTTATGATTGTGATTAACTCTATTGATAAATTCAAAATGTGCCGCGAATTTATCATAATGATAAATTCGGACGTGTTTAAGAATTTACTCATATAGTAAATTCAAAGGTGGAGCTCATGTTGTTAAATACAATACGCACGTGACGGCGAAGACCAGATAATTTATGAATAAACGTTGTTAACATAGATAATGAGTTATATTGTTATTCTAATGAGTTTCATAGCAATCTTACCTTCGATAAGCTATGATCTAATAAAGCATATATAAAAAATAAAATAATGTGAAATCGTGGCGGCTAGTTTTAGAATCAGTCAAATAGTGAAGTTAATTTAAGATTTAACTTCCATTACCTTACACTGGCTCAGTGTACGCATATGATTGGTTAATCGGATAGATTAATAAATACACCCAATTGGTTAATGGTAACAATAGCGCAGATAGCCTGGCCATCTTTAGAAATGCAATACGGAATTCCAATAGAAGTTTAACAAGCACCAATTTATTCAATTATACGGTCGTTTTGTGTTTTATCTGTCGATGATCCCAATGCTGTCTGGCATTTGTCGAGTTCTCGATCAGATTCAGGAGGGTGGTAAAAGTTATTTTCGTGAATGGGTTTTGTGGATGAGAATTATCGAATGTAAATTTTAAAAACATAATGCAACTATACCAGGGTGTATAAAAAACTGAACAGATTTGAAGTTGCTCTCAATTTCGCAAAACAGCTATTAGTATCCAATTTCTGAAATATATAGCTTCTTTGGGTACTCCAATTTCGAACTCAAATTTTGTATACCAGGTGTGTGTGTCGTTTCCAACAATTTTGAATTAATGGTGGAAAATTGGTTGGGTTGTTAATTACTGTACAAAAGTTCAGCCAATTTGCTTTAGTTTAAGCCCTTTAACTATTTATGCAAACTTACATTTTTCCTAAAAAATCAAGCTTTTGCATGCTTAATTAATGCCTTTGCCCAATTTGCATATGTCAGCATATGCAAATTAGGTAAAGGCATTAATTAAGCATGCGAAAGGCTGATTTTTTAGGAAGAAAATGAATAGTTAATGTTCTAGGAAAGTTACCTGTCCGTGACTTAAACAATATAGGGTAAAATGGAAATTGCTATTGGTGGATTTGGTAAAAATACAATACACTCGTGATGGTGAAGAACCAGATTTATGAATAAACGTTGATTAACATAGATAATGAGTTATCTTGTTATTCTAATGAGTGTCACGGCCATTTTCCCTTCGATAGGCTAAGATTAGATTAAAAACAATGTTTCAACAAAGGCAAAGTGTAAAGTTTTAAGATTGGAAATAATTCATGCAAGCGAAATTATAGCCCTTTGAAGTGTTAAAAAGCACCAGAAGGAGGTAGTCACCTGACTAATCTAACATAAACGTCGGCATTTTCAGCATTTAATTTCTCAAAGAGAATACATGCATTGTACAATATTTATGCTTTACAATACGGTTGGTCCAGGCTTTTAGCCAGAAGGGCGTCCAGGCGTCCTGGGACGCACATAGAACAAAAAATGGACGCCCTTGGACGCCAAAATTATGGGGGAAAAGGGAAATTATTCTCAATTATTTCCCTAAGTATATTAATACATCTGAAACAAAATAGCTTGAATTCTCATTATTATTGTACATTAATTTGACATTTTGATCAATCTGACGGTGTTTCTTGTTTCTAGAACCCCCCTCCCCCCCATTTACTGTAGATGTATCGTTGTACCAAAATTGGAGTAACGGTCTTGATATATCGTTGTACCAAAATCCTCTTTTACGATCCTAGCTAAAAGCCTGGGTTGGTCTTGAAGTATTCTATAAGGTGGCTGTGATTACCATGATTGTAATTGATCTCGGAAGAAAAGTGAATGACACTATTTTTCGAATCAGTCTATACTTTGTTCATAGTTTTTTTTTTCTTATTTCTTTGTTTTTTAGCTGCAATTCATCCTTTTATTGATCTACATTTCACATGCACTAACTATGAAAGATTGTACATTTCCACACTGGGTGTTTGGTTTGTTTTTCTGCTATGCTGTTTCTCTTGTGATATTGTTTGCCAACTTTTTTATCCAAGAATATATACATCGATTGAGAGCGAAAAAAGAACACAAGTCAGACTAAAGATACTATTTATATAAAGCTAGTCCTTTAACATAAAGACAATGGACCTCTCATTTTTGCACGCAGAATGTTGCTGTCAGATGATGCAATTCTCAATTTTTTTATCGCTCGTGGTATTTATGCATTTTACCTTTGAATTGCATGCAGAGAATGATAAAAGATGTGAATACCACATGGTCTGAAATAGTCAATTTGTATACTAAGCGTTATTAGCGTGATCGTCCGCATGATTGTAATCTGGTACTTGTATTTCATGTCAATTTGAACTTAATAATAATTATTAATTTGCTGTAGTTTTCTCAATTGTTACTCATGCCATGCCTTTGACCGTACGCTCGCGGTTTAAAGTGGGAATTTTCTCCGCTAGAGTTGGTTAAACCTGATTATATAACACCTCATTAAATTCAGGTCATTTAATTGGCTGATTATGATCACATGATATGGAATTACAATGCCCATTTTCCCACCTTGCAATAATACTCGTACATTGCACGCGCAGCCGTGCAATAATAATACGAGTACAATTGAACAGGAAGGTTTAATTAAATTCAGTAATTCAAAATCGTATCGTATTCGTAGCTCATTTTAACTATAATTTTCATATTGAGACCGATGGAATAAAATTTATAGTAGCGGGTGTAATAATATTTTTTCGCGATAACTTTGCCATGATTTTTACTACTGGCATAAATGACCGTCATTACCATATTCATTCTTCATTAAAACATTTGTTAGCACTTTTTGGTAGATTTTAATTATTTTTGATCAAAGTAATATCTATTGGTTTTGTATTTAAAATTCACTTACAAACTCGATAACATCGATCTATTTTGGTGTCATATAAAACAAATAATGAATGTTTTCATTTGGTGAAAGATGGAATTTTCCATCCCACTCGGCTAGCTGACGCCTCGTGAAATTCAAAATTCCATCGCTTTCTTCTCATAAAAATATTTTTACCATTGCATCCATAAACATTCATTATTTGTATACAATATATATAGTACGCCTTTCGTTCTCTGAAACTTCCTGCGTGCTCAAGAACTCGATTGCAATCATGAAAAAATCTCAAATTTAAAAAAATTCGAATATGTGTCAGTGCTGTTTTTGAATAGCTTGAGGGTGAGATAGTAAGGTACGAGACAAACGTTTGAATTCTAAAAACTCACTCACACTCAAAGTGGAGGTTCAATCTGAGCTTTTCTTGGGTGTCAGTGCTGTTTTTGAATAGCTGGAGGGTTAGTCTCGTACCTAACTATGTGACTACTCACCCTCGAGCTATTCATTAAAACGCACTGACATTTAAGAAGTGAAGCTCAGATTGAGCCTCCACTCTTCGAGTGTGAGCGAGCTTTTAGAATACATGCGTAGGTCTCTTTTCGACACAACAAAAATATCCATGAAATCCTAGTTCATAGAATGGCACGTTTCCTTGTCCGGTACCCCAATGTAAAACCAATGAGTTTATTATAGTTTGTGCTACCACCATTTCGGCACCAACATGTCAATACCATGTTAAGCACCATTTCACGAGCACCTCCTCACATCTCAACTCCTCACATATGGAAGATCTTTGAGGACAAGGTTTGGTGAGTATCGGCGTGCAGTTACTGGAAATGATCGATGCTATAACCAGCTTGTTGGCTGACAATTTAATGGTAGCAATCACAGTGTTTGTAATATAAAAATTCGAGCCCTATGTCCCATTTCTGGAAGCAATAATAGCTGCAAAAAACATGAAATGCGCATAGTGTTAATAAACCCTTCCTATGTTTATCTCTATCTGTCTTTGCCTGTAAAAGCTGACTTTGAGAGCAAATGCTTTAAATTCTTAAATTCGTACCTTCCAAAGAACAAAGTTCAGATAAATATTGCAGCATTCACTCTATCGTTTAAATGTTAAATCTATCGGACATTACAACATTCACCCCATCATATCGTTTAAATGTAAAGTCTATCCGGCGGGCGACGCACCCGCTTGGAACGGCGTCGCAAAGGTAGTTGTGCCTCTACCGCAGTGATCGGCGGTGGGTCCACATTGGAATTGTGTTCTGTTGACAATGGGGCTACTTCAGGCGTTGGTAACGGACCCGGCTCTGACAGGACAATCCTTGGGTGCAAGATTTGTTGTGCAAGATGTTTGTAGATGTTTGACGCTTGGGTGCAAGATGTTTGATGGATGTCCCCGTTTAGCATATATGAGGATATTGACAATTCCCCCGGAGCATTGAAAACCTAGCGGAAACCCAGAGACCTAGAGATCCAAAGACCTAAAAATTAAACCAGGGATCTAGGAACCCAGTCACCACCAATCGTCCATAAAATATTTGAGACAATCCCCCTCCCCACATTTCAATGTTGCTTTGTGCTATAAAGTTGTTTAATTCAAATGTCAGGCATTAGATTTTGATTGCCAATGGGAGGAAGATAGTAGCATTTCAACATTGGAATGGGGGGAAGGGAGGAGTGGATTCAAAAAGTCTCAATATATTTTGTGGACGATTGTAGAACCCCAGAGAACTAGAGACCTAGGGACCTAAAGACCTAGAAGGCCAAATTAAATACGTGGACACCAATAGTGAATAGTACTAAATACAAATGTTAATATTGCTTTGTAATTATGATAATTATTCATGACGTCACTCATCAACTTAGTATATGGCCCATCAACCACAAAATGAAGATTTGATGGGTATTCCAACAGTATGTTCTAACTTAAGTATTAGAATGTTAGGGTTTGTAATCCAAGTGAATATATATACATTTTAAGACCTGACCAGGAACGACTGCGAAAAATGCAGCACATGAAAGTGTTGGCAAAACATTAAGAACAGCTATGTAAGCAAGGTCACGTTATTGCCAACTCTCCGGGATGCACTCGTTTGATCCAAGCTTTAGCTAGTATAATAATTAATACAGGGTGATTGAATAGCTTATTGATCAGTTTTATTTTTGGAATTGTGTAATGACCAATGCTGAAAACTGACAAGAAAATGAAGCACTAGGGCGCGATCGAGAAGAAACGAGACAGGGTGAGACGCGAGTATATATTCTATTGGACACACAATATTTCATTGTGAAAAACAAATCGTAACGAGTCGATAAACGAGAAGCCGGTTATGGAATGATTGAATTATAAATAGGTATTTTACACATGGGTTTAATTAAATAAAAGTTAAAACAACTGAACGAGTTGGAATGGGGTGTCCGCCCCCCCCCCCCCCCCCCTCTTTTCTCCAGGACCAATTTTGTAATTCTTCCAAAACTGAAGAGAAACTGGGGGTGGGTGGGGGGTAACCTCGTAATGCTTTCATCTATGACATCATATTATAATACACCAAATCTGTTCAGATTATCATAAAACGTGGTTAAAGTGCATAACATAGCGTTTCAAAGACCCTAAAAATAGACTGATTTTTCGGGGGTTAGTTAGTTAAATTTAGGAGGGGTGAAAATTAGGGAGTATGGTTACCTGGAAAAATATGAGGCTCGGAAATGCCATTTCCTGCACTTTCTGCATGGACATACCGGTCAACAGTTCGTCAACATTATTCTCGGGTTCGTTTGACTCGTTTAATGAGCTTTTTACACTCTCTACTAAATGTAGTAGTAGAGATTCCGTTCGTGCGAAGATAAACTCAATGCTTTGCAGCACCGAAGACAGTGATTTTCCTGAGACTTCGTTTGAATTAGAGTCTTTTTCTACGCCAGCTGGGTCAGCCATAACTCCTTTCTTCGTAAGCGAAGCAAAACGACGAAATATGCGGGCGGACGTTGGTGGTTATCAGGCCGGTCCACAATGCATGGAACCCAGTCTTTCTCTTGTTATTTGTTATAGACTACAGTTACTTTCAACCGCTGTATTTTTGAGTGAAGTAATAAAGATATAGCATTGTTATATGAGGCCACACTTTATGAAGTATAACTGAAAAACAATTAATTTATTTTTTTTAATTTTCGTCTGAAATTTGTTCAAATCGCTTCATAATGGTCGCCGCTGAAAACAATGATCTCGAACCCCCTCCTAAGCATACGTCAGCTGGTGGGTTCGAGATTTCTATTTCAGCTGGTGGTTTCGTGGTTTCGCTTTCGGATTGGTTTAGAGCGGGTGGACTTGTCGACGAGCTCAGCTGCTTTTTGCCCGAACTCACCTGCCTTTCGTGGAGCTCACTTGCGAAACTCGTTACCTTGCAATAACAATAACAATGGCGACAAGATTTAGCCGATAAATCTAAACTTTAAAGAACTTTTTTCGGTGACTAACCTACTGAGACTGAAGATAAAAGAAGAAAAAAATGCAATAAAGGTAATCTAGACGTGAAGAAGTATTAAGAGCCCAGTGATTTTTTTGGCTGAAAAAATGTTGACAGAACATCGACGAATATATCGCAAAGAGCTAGAATGTGTACGTATCGTCGTATGACTCTTTGTATGGGATAAAAACCAAACATACTTGCAGCCACCCTCTGTGCGCCCAATCCCGGACTCACCTCCCTGCAAGTATGTTTGTTAACAGGGTGTCCCCCAAAAAAGTGACACTATAGAAATTATCTCATTGTTCTTAAAGCCGCGCTTAAACGCGAGTGTTTACACGCCTGGGAATTTAACGAACTTGTACATTATTTACATTTAAGCATTTTAAAACGTTTTCGCTTTGTCCAAATATTTTAACGCCCGAGTCAAGCAAAACGATTACACTAATAAACGGTTTGCTTTTTTATTTTAAAGTCCAGAAGCAGAAGTTTATACACCTGTGGGATCAACTTAGTGCTAGGGCATTCAAATTATAACAATAGGATAATTTCTATAGTGTCACTTTTTTGGGGGACACCGCCTGTACAGGGTGTCCCAAAAAACCCGAAAACTATTGAAATCACTTATTGTTAAATTTGAATGCCCTACCAAACAGCTGGACGTAATGATGCGTAAAATATTGACAAGGTGCATGTATTAGAATTTAGTTAGGAATATCTCCTGGTAAAGTCACAGGGAGCCCATCCCGGGTCTTATTGAAGTTATGTATTAGAATTACGTATGAAATATATAGCTCAGTGTTGAAGCCTGCGACTTGCGGGCTGTGTGCGGGCTAACGTGCGCTTTGAATACACAATAAAGAAAATAATCAAG